TTATTTGCATTCACCTGGCGAATCCACCAAAAAAGTTATCAAGAGAATTACATAGATTACATTAAAAATAGTTGATAATTATAGTAATAAATAATGAATGTGTATTTCTTCAGAAATAAAAGCAAAAATGTATGTAATTCGATGAAGGAAAGAAGAAATACGATTTTTTTTTTGCATGAATCAAGGTTACATGGAAAATAGGATTTTCCGTTTGTCCCAAGGGTTTCGTACTTTGCAGGTGGCACAAAATGCATATAAAATGACGAGCAGAGCACAGAAAATTTGATCAGTGTGTGTGTGTGTGTATTCTACAGAAAACGGGAAAGGTAATTTCCTTTTTATACTTTAGGCAGGAACGGACGTGATGCCGCAGGCCGCAACTTCTTCCTGCTTATTTATGGACGAGTCCGTCGCAGGGGCGGCTCGTTAAACAAGGGACGGCAGCAGCCCGCGTCCCTAATTTCTCAAGGGGGGCGGCGGCGGCTGTGGCGCATCGAATTACTTGCGTCTAATTTAAATTGCATACAACCCAACATACACCTTAATCAAAAACAAATATTAAGAAGAAACAGAGCACACTGACATTAATTACAAAATTTATATATATTTTTTAAACGTCAATCATCCGAAATAACGACGTACGTGCAATTACGAATATAAAAATGCTGAGCTCATGCGGCAAGAGGAACAGAGGAAAAGGGAGATGCAAAAAGATGTAAACGATGTAAATGCGATATAAATAATGATAACGTCGTGTTTGATGGGAGAATTGAAACATCCCCTAAGTTAACGTTAAGAGTTAACGTAGCGTTAATTCGTTATATAATTTAAAAGCGAATACCAGAAGAAATGGGTGCGTTAAAAAAAAAAAGACGAAGCATCGCATCAAATGATGTAGTGGGAGGTGGAGGAGGGCAACCAGAAATTGTATCCATAAAACTGTTGCACGCAGTCGTAAAAAGAGCAATTATTCAAATGCGGGGGGGCGCATCGAATAAATTCAGAGAGCAACCCCACCTCTCGGTACGGTTTTGAAATGAAAAAACGTTAAAGTCGTTGAATAAAAATAAATTACGGCAGCGCCGATTACGTAACGGAGACGACGGAATTAATAGTCGCGATAAAATTAAATGGATGAAAAGGGCGTGAAAATCGTGGATGATGAATCGGTTCGGTGCGGAACGAACGAACGAACGAACGTGCTGAATCGGCGCCGCTAATGGTTATTATGAGGGATGCGCGTCTGTAATGCTATCAGATGGCGACACTGTTCATAACTAATTGGTGAATCGTGAACGAATGTGGCGCTACCTATTGACGACCGATGGTATTTAACGTTTAAATTATCTGTTAATAATGTATGGGTGTGTAGTATATTTGTTGGACTCTAAAGGGGTTGTTTAGAGCTTCGTTGCTATTATATAGGGATGGACGACACAAATCCAGCGAATCCTTGATAGACGACGTCGTCGTTCGGCGTCGTCTGGTCGCACAGCTGATTAGTTACTTGACAACGTGCACGTGCCTCACACCCCTCGGCTCATCCCTTCGCAATCCATACAAATCCTACACATGCACGTCTCGTACCAACCTTAAAAGCCTGTCACTCATAAGACTGCTCAGTATTAGTTTCAGTTAGCCAAACTGACTGCTTCATAGTCTTAACAGCAACAACGTAAAAAAAGCAATAAATAAGTAATTGTAAAAAGAAAACATCAAACGTCAATTACTTGAAACGTCAAACGTCAATTATTGAAAACGTCAACCTTCAATTATTGAAAACATCAAACGTCATTTACTGAAAACGTCATATGTCAATTATTGAAAACGTCAATTACTTAAAACGTCAAACATCAATTACTGAAAACGTCAAATGTCAATTACTGAAAACGTATTATGTCAATTATTGAAAACGTCAATTACTGAAAACGTCAATTATTGAAAACGTCAACCTTCAATTACTGAAAACATCAAACGTTAATTACTGAAAACGTCAAATGTCAATTATTGAAAACGTTAATTACTGAAAACGTCAATTACTGAAAACGTCAAACATCAATTACTGAAAACGTCAATTATTGAAAACGTCAACCTTCAATTACTGAAAACGTCAAATGTCAATTATTGAAAACGTCATATTTTGACAATTTAAAACATCAAGTTCATTTTTACTCTTGTAAAAAAAACAGGTTCATAATCTTAACACAACATAAAAATTTATTTACGAGAATCCATAAATGATAACGTCAAGTGTGTAATAAAGTCATCTGTCGGCGATAAATTGAAATGCATAACGAGTGAATCTTACCTGAGAATCGTCGTTTCCGGCGACGTCTTCCGGTTCCGAGTCAATTTCCGGTTGCGGCGAGTGGCACTTGACGAGCACGACTATATTTTCCTCATCGACGGTCAAAAAATTGCCGCATTGGCTGGCGACGCTTCTGCTTCCCGTTTCGGACGACATTCTGCACGATAACAATAGTTTGCACTTCAAAGTTGATAAAGTATTCAACAAAAGCTGAAACAGGAAATATTAAACAAATTTATATAATTTACAAACTTTACATTTCATTATAATTATTTAAAAAATCAAGTATTCTATGAAAATCTAAAATCTATGGAAATTTCTTTAGTGATAGTCTACATGGACATCAATTGTATAAGTCAGGATGGCCGAGTGGTCTAAGGCGCTGCGTTCAGGTCGCAGTCCACTTCTGTGGGCGTGGGTTCGAATCCCACTTCTGACAAATACTTTTTATTTTATAAAAGCATATTAAATACAAAAAACATCAACAATTACATATTTTTTTTATAATAAAATTTTAAAACAATAATTCATAATACAAATATCATTTAAAAAACATGACGAATCTAAATTAGATAAATAATTTAAAACATTTCAAAATGAATTATTAATAATTAAAATTATTAATATTTATAAAATCCCGACTATGTCAAAATCCCGACTACCATAATCCCGACAGTGTCTTTTATTATTTTCTACAATAACATTCTTATGATTGTCGGGATTATTGTAGTAAAATCCCGACTATATCGAAATCTCGACAGTGTCTTTCATTATTATACATTTCTACTATAACATTCTTATGGTAGTCAGGATTTTCATTGTCGGGATTATGGTAGTCAAATCCCGACTATATCGAAATCTCGACAGTGTCTTTTATTATTATAAATTTCTACAATAACATTTTTATGGTAGTCGCATGTCGATATTGTCGGTATTTTAATACAGCCGGGATTTCGATAGACCCTAATAGACATGTAATATATACTTGTTGTGAGGTTGTTAATAGAGTTGCATACATTAAAATCAAATAATACAAACTGATGTTATAAATCAATCATTTTTAAATAAATAAATAAATTATTAATGTTCATCTACGCATTGTTAATAGATTACAACAATAAATGCAAAATTCATATTTATATTATTAACGTATATGAAGTTGCATATATTAGAAACACAACTGAACAAAATTTTGTTTTAAATCGATTATTAGTGTTAACGTAATTATTTTTAATTACATTTATTTTAACGTTCATTAAAATTTATACAATCGTTTATTAATTGTACTGCAATAATAATAATAATCATTTGAACTACTATGTGAGTAGTTGCAATTAACGAATGTCATTGAATAGAAAAACTAAATAAAAACAGATGTCAATCGAATCCACGATACCCATGGATTTAAACGGCACAAAAATCCGTACGTCTCATGTTTATGTCGACAAATAGCACGAAATTTGTAGGTTATGCTAAGGGTGTGCTCTTAAGAAATGCACCGGTTCGCATTGTCAACGATTGAAAACTGCGTTTCTGAATGAATTGCAAATGATTTAATTGTATTTAAGTAATGAAAAAAAAGGTACTTACTTTGCGAGCTATGAACATAACACAAATAATTCACGATATAGTGTAATAGGAACACACACACGCGTTGCCTGTCTCGGGACAACAACAAAGCACGTGGCGACATCTGTATTGAATTCGGATCACCTCGATGACGTATCATTTTGAAAACGTACAGGACCGGATTAAAAATATTGAAAAAAAGAATTATATAATTATTAATTTTAATTGTTTACTATATAATTAAATGAAAGAATAATGAAATTGAGTCAAATATTTATTGAGAATCGAAGTTGACGTAATAATATAATTAGAATATAATTACAAAATAAAAACAAAAGAGAATCGATATAGAAATTAAAAAAAACAAAAATGGAAAACATATTTAACATTACCTAAAAAGTAGAAAGTTAAGACATTAAATTAAGTGTGTATTTATATGTATAATAATAATAAAAAACAGTTGAAAAGAAATAAACAAGTTTAAAAACTATCGTTTCGCAGAAAATGCATGAACAGAGCGAAGAAATATTAATTAAAAAATAAAAACTAAATCGTAATTATTTATCCCTGAACACATGGACGGTTAGCGAAAACATAATACAGCACCTAAAGCTAAAAGTATAAAGATTAAACTTAGATTTAGATTTACTTAAGAGCTAGTAGACCTTAATCGCGGATTCGGGGATGAAGATTATCCACGCGAATCCACGGATTTAGTAGTACGGGGGTTCGCTCATTTTACGCCTCTTTCCAAGGCCGTCTTAATATATGTACAAATCGTCAACGAAATAGAATATACACAAAAAAATAAAAAAAAGCATAAAGTAATAATATCAGTATAATCGCGATGCTTAATAAACTTTGTACTTAAACACTAAAGTTACTTCATTAAATATATTTATATATGTATATGTTTATATATGGTTAAAGAATAAATTGCATTTAGCCACGATTTTCATCTCACATCAAGTATGTACAAAATCTTGTTTTCTTCTCTTTTTTTCTTCATTCATTTGTTATTGAAAGCTTTTATTGAAAGGCATTTGTTTTAATTTTTGTTTTGGGAATGGAAATAGCATTTCGTTTCATTGTTTCGCTTAATGTATCTTTTGTTTTGTATCAGTTTTGTTTTTGTTTATATATGGCCTCAGTAGATCCAGTTAACCGGTACCCACTGATGTTCGGATGTCAGCGATTCGAGGGCTTCGATGACCTGCCTGAACGTCGAATCGAAATCGTTGTTCGTAATTACGAGATCAATATATTTGTCGTACGTTCGTTGCATACTCGCGCTGTCTTCCAAAGTTCTCTTCAGATCTTCCTCCTACAAGAACAAAATTGCATTAGCGTTTTGATCGCAGATATCATTTAGAAATTTGGTGCAGTCAAGTGATTAAAAAATATTAATATTTAGTGGTGAAATTTTAAGAATTTGTTAAATAGTTAAATTGCACAGAAACTAAGTTCTTACTTAATCTCATTACGAATCTATCTAGTTTAGTTGCAAATGGGGGAAAACTAATTAATTAAGTCTAAAGTTCTAAGTCTATAAATAGCAAGGAAGGATGGAAATGTCAATTGGGAGCATAATAACACGTATTCTTACCTCATAGAGCGAAGCTAGAGATTCCAACGTCCTCGCCCTACGCGAGCTGAACCTAATTGAGCTTTGGCGATCAAACTAAATCATGCGGATAAAATAAATTAAAAAAAAATAATATAAAATAATAAAACGATGCATAATAATAATAACGATCATAGCAATAAAAAACGAGCTTAAGAGTGATAGATTTAGTTACCGTCAAGTTCCTGCTGGAATGTCTCAAGTTGCTGTTGCTTTTACCCACGTCGTAAAGCGTCTTCAGATGCTCCATTCCGGGTGAAGCTACGAAGATGACGTACGGAAGAAACTCGGTGCTGTTGTGGAGGATCTTCAGAGAAGCCGGGCTACAATCCAGGACGCACATTTTGCCTTGCTTGATGATCTCCCTCATCGTGTCCAGATGCGTACCGTACATGTTACCATTGTACTCTCCGTACTCCAAGAACTTGTGCTTTCTGATCTCCTCCTCCATCGTCTCTTTGTCGGTGAACCAGTAGCTCTGTCCGTTCTCTTCCAACACTCTCTGCGGTCTCGTCGTCCCTAAACAGACCGAAACAATCAAAATATTCTTTCCAAATTTAACTTTGTTTAAGTAAAAAAAAAAACCACTTACATGGTACGACTCCACCGAACTTTTCCGGATCGCTGTTGATCAGTCTGTTCTTGATGGTTCTACGACCGACGCCTTGAGATCCAATCAGTACCAGAGTTTTCCTCTTGAACGGCGGCATTCGCGTGACCTCCTCGTACAGCAAAAGTTCCGCTTTATCGAAATCGGTGTTGCTCTTCGACTGGTAGATGATTTTCTTCTTTTTCTTGGAGATGCGAGCGCCGCAGATGCTTATCTTGTGCACGTAATCCGCTTCCGGATGGACGTAGGCTTTCCTTCTCTCCTCCAGTTCGATGGAGGGAATGAGACCGACGGGTCCATCCGTTCCGGCGATCTTCGCCTGCCACCAGTTCGGATCCTTCTGGTCGACGATCTGGAGGATGTCGCCGCGCTCGAATTTCAGACCGATCTCTTTGCACGGCAGAAGCGTATCCTCCTCCGGATCGTATTGGAACAGAGTTCTCATGTAACACTAAAACAAAACAAAAAAAAGCATCGTTACAGATTTTGTTTTCTCGACAGTTGCAAGTACCTCAAGGTTTCACACTGAGTCTTGTTGACTTACAGTCAGTTTTTTATTGATCCCATTTTTGGCGTTTCCATTGGCAACTAGAGCAGCGTGCGTGACCGGAGCCGAGCTGTCGGTGGTGTCGTTCTGGCCGATCTTCAGCGTCACGGAATCCTTGGATTTTGCGATTTCCGTCTGCAATTCTTCGGGCGTGTATACGGGAGCTCCGTTGATCTCCAGAATAACGTCGCCCGTATGCAGTAATCCCTGCTTTTCGATCATTCCACCCTCGAGGATCCTCGCCACGACGAGATTCTCGCTCTCATCCACTTGGACCTTGAACAGACAACTTTACTTTCCAAAAACCTAATTTCCGCTAAACTAATCTCAAATTACCGTCAAACCCAACGGTTCTCCGGGCTTCCTGCGAAGCCCGACCATCCTGAAAGTCTCCCCCGTCATCCCGTTGAGAGCTGGAAGAATGTCCTCGACTTTCGGACTCGATATCTTCGGCCCCAAGATCACCTCTCCGATCTTGTCGTGCGTCTCTATGAGAGCCCTCAGATGCGGCCTCGCCAACAACTGTCCGAGTTCTCTCAACTCCCGATTCCTCGACCTACCGCACCGCAAAATCAGTTCGCTCACTAGATCCTTGTTCGTCACGCCTATCGGTTTCGGCAGCTTCGGAGGCTCCTCAAGCCGGTCCTGCACCTTTCCAAATAAACAACGACATTAATAATCCGGCCCTGCTGCACCTATGTTGATACAAACAACAAATCAACGATAATAATATTATTGTATTGCTCGCTTGTTATTACGCAACGCGAAACCAATGAGTAACTACTAACTGACCGTGAGTCAGCCGCATTCCTACAATTTAAACGCGAATTGTCATAACCGACGGCGCCTCAATTAATTTAGAATTATATCACCGTAATCGCGAGTAATGATATGTGCGATTTTTTTTTATAAGCCCCAGTGGCCTAATGGATAAGGCATCGGCCTCCTAAGCCGGGGATTGTGGGTTCGAGTCCCATCTGGGGTACAACATATATTTTTATATAATAGAATTTCCTTTATAATATTTAGTGTACAATTTTCATACGTCATTGTTCTTTACATAATGATATAATAGAAACTTTCTTTCAATATTTTTTTTGCTTGAAGAATCATTAACAAAACATGAATTTCCTTTCAATTCTTCATAGAATATCTTAATTCTTACATCAGTACAAAGCAATTAAGTGGAACGTTACAAATCTGTAGACGATAAAGATGTAAACCTATCTTTTTTTTTATATATATCAAGTTTAGATTCGTCCTAAATACATAAAACCTGAAGAAAAAAAACCCTTTATTTATAGCGATTAGGTAAAATGCGGCTCCGTTTAATCCCTTTACATATATATATAATATAAAATACGTGCTCGGCCCTCTTCGATCTACCTGCTCGAAGAGTAGCACCTGTGCCTTACGCAATGCCCTCTTGACTCTCCCAGACTTCAGGTATACATGTGCACTCACACGTACGCAAAACAAACGACCCTTCTTCTTCTTCTTCTTCATACGTCAGGTGTCAAGGACGAGGGTGGCCCTGAAAGTATGCAGTTGTTTCCTCCCTACGCTTTTGTTTTTTATTTTCAGCACACCTAGTACCGTTATATAGTGCGTATATATTGCGTGGACCTTTAAATTGAGGAAACAGCTGTGATCCAATCTGCAGATCGGGGCAGATGCGCAACGAACGAACATAATTTCTTAGTTTTCAGAACAAAAAAACTAATATTTGCACGATTATATTACAACATAACCATATTTATTTTACTTAATTCTAAAGAAACAGTAAATAATTAGAAACTAGCAATAATTGAATTTACTAAATTTTTCTAATTAGTCATAGTGCATAAGATCTTCTTTCGAATATCAACAATAAACCATAGTAACGTTTTTAGATAAATTAAATTAATATTTGTTTATTTCACTGATATGTACATGAAACACGAGATGGAACATTGCATTACTCAAAATATTGATATTATTGTTGAGCGATTGGAAAGTTTGTTTTTTTTTTGTTTGTGAAACCTTATCGTTTCTACTGCTGTTTTCCACAGTGTTTTTGTGTTATTCGCATATGTAGATTACGTCGAAAAGGTTCTAACGTTTCATCTGTCCGCAAAGTAAGTACACTTACTAATACTACTCTTGCTGGTGTGGTTCTCGGGGCAAAACGCAATCTCGACTCGTGAAAGTTCATTGAGTTTCCGAGTTCCTTGCCCTCACCGAAACAACACCATTCTATCTCTATTTCTCTCTTCCGTCGTGTTAACTTGGAAGTGTCATTGCGTGTGATAAAACCAATGTTTGTCCTCTTCGTGTTATCGGACGATAAATAGTTGAAATTTTTGAGGCAATGACTCAAAATATCGATTGATTATTTTGTAATTTTAAGAGAGCTTTGAATTTGAGACGTTGAAGGGAATCCGGCTCGAATCCGCTTTCCATTTGCTAGTTTCCTTGAACTAAATATCATCGCTTTAGCTAGCATTCATCGATTTATGCATGGAACGTTTTCACGGATTCCTAGCCTCTAAACATGCAACACAAACTCACTACAAACTTGTTTACTATTTAAAAGCTTTGGAACAATATAATAAAAGTAAAGTTTGTTATTTCCATCTTTATAAGCTAGAATTAATCAATTCCAAAGTAAAAAAAACAAACCTGACTTTTCCAGTTTTTTTTTCTTTAATAATTTACAAGGTTATTTATTTGTAAATGCTCATTTTCAACAGCATAATCTTCGAACACACACTTAATAAACTTGTTATAACTGAGATTTAAGGATTTATGAAAAAAATAACTGTTTCATATAACATCATAAGAGTTAATATACAAACTGTAATTGGATTTCTTTCAATAAATAAGATTTTCAGAATAATAATCGTAATAATCGATGATAGATTCATTTATATTTTAGTTTTATACTTATAACCTTTAGGTTTCAAAAAGTCTAATTGGATTCAAAGAGAAATTTATGTTTTTTTTTTAGAACAAATGTATAAAAAGAAAATAAAAAGTTGACAAATTTGTTTAAAATCTTCGTTTCCTAAGTTTGTATGGACAAAGTAGAACACTTGCTCACTTAATTTGAATGAATATGTGATAGCTTTCACGGAAAGTATGTGAATAGAATTTAAAGCAAGGAAATTAAGAACTCGCAAAGATTCCTTCAAGAAACAACTTTTAGTATAATTTCAAAACTAATAATGTTGCATCAAGATTGTACTTATTTTTTCTCTTGTAAAATAAAGAATTAAAGATTGTCTTAATTCTGTCAATTGTGAGTAGAATGCTTTGAAAACCAAAAATTGTATGGTTCTTTTTTTTAAAGTTTCCTTGGAAACGGGTGACTGAATGCACAGACTACTAGAGTCTTTAAGCGGGCATTTAAAAGCGAGGGATTTAACGATCGCATTTCGTCGTCTTTTTCGAACACAACAGACAGACACACACACGCAAACGAGTTTATTATTCAGATCACAAAAGGGTTCGTGGAGGAAGAAGGCGTAGGAAGAAGTCAAAAGGAACGAAAGAACGTCGGTGCTTCTTCTTCTTCTTGTCATGCTTTGAGGGATCTTCTCGATAGCGTTGCGTCCGCGTTGCATGACCGGAATCAATTGAAAAAGGTCGGGACGACAACAGAAAACCGACCTCAACACATGCACTTTAACTTAAACTTCTTCGACAAATTAAAACGCGAAGTCTTTCTTTAATATATTTTTTTTTTTTTGGTTTGTCTGTAAATGATTCTTTTGACTCTTTTATTTTCGGTCCAAAAGCAGTAGCATCATCCTCGAGCAAAACCGGTACAGGTAAAACTCACGTATACAACCACCTATGTAGTATGCGAGTGTGTGTCTACACATAAAGCATATGTGAGTGTATATATATATAAAATGTCGGTGTTGCCATTGTTCATTCCCGCGACTTTAACTTTCACAGGTGTGGCCTCCGTTACGAGCAAACAAAAACGCGCTAAGGCTTTTTACCTTTTCACAATGATAAAATATTTTAATTATGTTTTTTACCTTTCGTCGTTTCCGATTTTTAATCCGCTCAAATCGATCTCACAATAACAACAAACAACAATAATAATAAAATTAACAACACTTTCAACAACACTTTCGAGGATGACGTCACGATGCCATGCTTTCCGGTTCCGTCGTCGCGCACTCTGTACTCAATTGTTTTCCAACTTTTCGATTTTCACCTTCTGTTTCCAATTTTTGTTTCTCTTTTTCAATTTGTTATTTTCTTTTTATTGTTTTGTTTATCGCGTGCAGCAGGTGTATGTAGGTTGTAGTAGGCGTCGCAGCAGGCTCTGAACACGACCGACGTCCAGTTCGTAGTAGGCTCTGGTGTCCGCGGAACTTTCGAAGAGGGGATCTAGTCTTCTCTTCTCTTTTTTTTTTCAATCCCCCTCCCGCTTAGTAATTCCATTGTGTTCACCTCCTCTCCCCACCTTTTCCACCTGACTTAATGACGCTAATTATTTAAACTTATTTCGTTCGAAAAACGTACAGGAAAATGACTTCAAGTGGATAATATCGCATTCACCGAAACGCATGAGTCACAGCAATTGTTTCTGCGACACAAACCATCATTTCTTTATTGTTTTCACTTGATTAGTCGAAACAAAGTAATCACACTTAAGTAAAAACGATAATGTTTCATTCCTCGATGGTCAAAAGTTCCACTTGATTTAATTGTGATTCATTTCTTACAAGTAAATCACTGTCGTATAAAACGTACTTTGTATTACGAGCGATTCGATGTAGCAATTGTTTATTAGATTTAGTCACTTGATTTCTTTAAATTTAACAATGTAATCTTCTTTAAGTTATTTCGATTTTTTTTTAAAGTGTGGAAAATTAGTCAAATTGGACAAATTCCATACTTAAGTAACTGTCATTGAAAGTATAATGTATTGACAGGTGACATTGATAACCTATAAAGCGTCCCTAGCAACTGTTATTAGGAGTATGTCAATTATTAAGTAACTAAGGTAATTAACGTAACAACTGTTATTATATCGAGAAATATACAAAAAGTTTAAATATTAATATATTTTATTTTTTTTCATATAAAAATATCGCAATTAAATATTACGAAAAAGTCAATAAATAAATTAAATGGACGCACTGAAAGGTAAAGAATTTAAGGTCTTCATGAATAGTAAATATAGAAATAAAACGTTATTAAATTCCAATGAAGTATTTCCGTTTTTCTCTTTTACGCGTTATGTCTATTTCAATCGTATAGGAAGAGACGTTCATGAAGAATTCATGAGCCAATGAATCACCGACACCGGTCACTAGGATACCAATCAATAAATAAACAAGCGAACAAAATAAAAAGCAATCTTACCTGTAACTACGATCTGTACATGATAAGAAAAATCCTTTAATTTTCTCGGCACGCGATTTTCACTTTAGTTACCGCAGAGTTTTTACGATTTGATTTTTATTTTCGAGCGCAACGCAGGAAAAAAAATCGATTCAATCCGCCGACTCTCTCCCTTTCGGACTCTTCGTCAGAGGGTAAAAAACATCATCCTCACACCGTTCCTGCATTGCGACTAAAAGCAACGCAGATACACACACACACCCACCCTAAAGATTCTTCGTTCACTCTGTGCGTCTCTCTTTCCC